GAATGACGTGGGGGTGGAGGAGGCAGCCAGCGTCCCCCCCACCCCACCCCCGGGGGGGTTCAGGCTTTGGGAAATGCAAATCCAGACTGGTCCAGCCACGCCAGGGGCCAGGGGCCAGCCAGGCAAATCTCAGTGTAAAGGGCCAGACAATAAAACTTTGGCTTTGGGGGCCGCATGGTCTGAACTCAGCCACAGACCACATGTCAGCGATGGGTGTGGCCCGTGCTGATAAACTTTATTTCCAAACAGGCCCTAGCTCGCCCGAGTAGCTAAAATCACTCTATTTGAGCCTGGAGGCGTTTCCACAAGGTTGGAGCTTCATTGGGGAGAAGAAGCAAGACGTGGGGGAGCGGGGAGAATTGTGACTTCATTCTTCTAACGCTGACCCGAACCTTCCATACGCTTCCGCATGGATGTTTACATTGACGATGGGACCAGGGAGGAAACCGTGGAAGGTGAACTGCCAGATTGTCCTCGGGGTTGAACAGTGTGGGACACAGAAGACTGAGGGGAGAGCGGCATGAAGCTGGAAGGAGGGAGGGATCAAACCCTCCAGAAGTGTGTCCTTTCCCACGAATGCATTTATGAGAAACGATACATGTGCGGTTATGAGAGGAAAACTCCGTGTTAGAAATAAAGAAATGGGGAAGTTCCCGAGCCTTTGGAAAGAAAAGTGTGCAGGAAAAGCCAAGAAGCAGCAGCGCCCAGGGAGGCAAGACCCCACGTCCGTCAGCCCGCTGCGCGGCCCCAGGGCGGCCACGCCTTCCCTTGCCTCAGTGTGCCCATCTGTGAAATGGGAGTAGCGAAAACGGATGAGCCTTTTTACGGCTGCCCACCTTACAGTTACTTCTAGAGCCAGAGAGTGGAGGTGGGCCCTGCCCGAGACTGTGGACTCCTGAATCGTGAGGCATGGGGCAGGGGGAGGGGGGAGGAGGGAGGGCAGAAGCTTCCCAACAGTCCGTGAGGTTAAATTCCTCAAGGTCCAAGTGAAGTGAGTTCATCACAAGACAAAGATGGTCCATTCCTCAGGCCTGAGCGCCGGGACTGAGATTTACACCCGTGATGCGGGCAGGGGCGGGTGAGGGGGACTCTGTCTTTGTACCCCAGGGAGGCTGCTCGGGCGGGAAGGGGCAGGGAGAGGTCTCACCAGCCTGGAATTCCTGCGGGTGTCCTTGTGGCGCCCTGACAGGTAATCCAGCTCGGCCTGCTGGGTGCACAGATACTCCCTGCGAGGAGAACGAGGAAGAGGAGTTTGCAAAGTAGCAAAAGAAGAAGAAGAAAAGACACGGCCGGGTGCCCAGGGTTCCGGAGTGGAGGCGGCCCCAGCTGCAGGCTCGGAGAATAGCGGTGGTTCTGGGCCGGCTCAGCGGTCAGAGAGGCGGCGCCATCTCGCCCACCGGAAGCCGGGCCCCAGCTCGTTCAACCTGCAGACCCCACACGCTGGGGGCTGTGTGCCCAGCGCTGTGCAGAATGAGGAACCTCTCCATTAACAGGTGCTATTGTTATCATGCCCATTTTAGAGATGGGCAAACTGACCCTGAAAATTGGCAAATAACTCAAGCGCAGAGTCACAGCAGGGACGAGGCCGAACCCGGGTCTGAAACCAGCAATGGCCTCCGGAGGCCGCTCTCTTCACCCCGGCCCACGGGGAGGTCAGCGAGAGCCCTCCTCCCTCACAGACGAAGACAGGCCATCCTGCTGTCGGCCTGTGTAGGGCCAAGGACCAGAGAGGGGCTGGAAGACCCATTTCTGGGACGCACAGAGAAAGCTGTGTGGCTGGAGGGGACACTTCACGTTCTTTTCCAGCCAAAGAGCCTTAGACGTGAAGCGTGAGGTCTGGACTCGGGAGCCACGGTGAGGCCCCATCCTGCTTCATCAGAGTTTACTAGGCCACCCCAGGAAGGTGACTCGCCCTTTCTGGGCCCACTTGCACCACCATCTGCCAGGCCGCAGCTCACTCAGGGGGTGGGCTCCCCAGGAAGAAGGGGGTGCTGTTGAGTGAGCCCAGACCGGTCTCCAACGTGAGGTCCTTACAGGAATCACCAGAGCGGTCCTGGGAGATGCGCCCCTTGAAGACAGGCTCCAGGCACCCGGCCCCAGCTCCCGCTCTGCGCCAGTGCAGGTGGGGGCGTGCGGTGTGCCCCGTGGGTGGCGGATGACAGATGTCCCCTGGGCTGGCGGTCAGGGCTTGGCGAGGGGGGGAGGTGACCTTTCCCCGGAGCCCGGGGTGGGTGGGGGAGGGCTGCGGACAGAGGGCGGGTCGGCACTGGCCCCGGAGCCCCACTCCCTGCTTCCTGGCCGTAGGATCCTGGACGAGCTGTGTCCCCTCTCTGGGACTCAGTTTCCTCTCCGCGAAAAGGTGAGGAAGCTCTCTGATAGCGTTCTTCAGGGATTCAACGGTGAGATGTGTAGAAAGCCCGCAACTGCTGCCGCCGCTGCTGTTGTCACTGCTATTAATTAGTGAGAAACAGAGCAGGATCGCAAGAGGCGGAGGGCGGGACAGGCCTCCCGGGCGGAAGGAACGGCGTGCGATTCAGGACACGCGCATGCGCGCTGAACAAGGAACCTGGGGCGCGGCAGCCTCCGCGGACGCTCCCCTGCCCGGGAGCTGCTCAGCGAGGGCCACAGCACAGGTACAGGAGGGCAGATGGGGCATTTGGGGAACCAGTGGAGGCGGGGAGTGAATAATAGAAAAGTCTAGAAAGGTTGAAGGTCAGAAAGGACCCTGAATGCCCCCCCGAGGGTAGTAGGGAGCCATGGGAGAGACTTGAGCAGAGCAGGGGTGGCAGGTGGAGAAGGGGTAGGTGGGGACGGGGCTGGGACAGCAGCAAGGGGGATGCTGGGAGAAAGGAGGCCCCTGGACTGGGCGTCACGGAGTCTAGGATCCTAGAGGGGCTATGTGGCGGCCCCCCATGTGACTTATTCACGGGGCAACACTGCACTGAAACCACAGTTCTTTCTCAAGCCCTGACCTCTTCCATGAACCTCGGGTTTGTGCCCGAACTACCTCTTTTCATCTCCACT